ATCAGGGTCTTCTCCAGTGAGTGCTCCCTTCTCTTTGGGTGGCCAAAGTATTTCAGCTTCAGTTTCATTATCTGGCCTTCCAGGGAACAGTCAGGGTTGATTTCTTTTAGGATTGACTGATTTGATCTCCTTGCAGTCCAGGGGATCTCAACAGTCTTCTCCAGCATCAGGGATCTGACCGACCCCTGTTCCTCTGCCACATCCAGGCAGAGGGGTGAAGCTATTGGGTTCCCCCCCCCCAAAGTGGGATTTTTGTGGACCTGCGCTGGCTGGGGAGGTGTCTGGCAGGCTCAGGGATCTGACCCACACTCTCTTCCTCTGTCACAGCCAGGCAGTGGGGCAAAGCCAGTGGATTCCTCAGCTGAGGACCCACCCTTGCGCCTAATTGTTGTCAATGCCCCTCTTAGCCATGAGGGAGAGTGGGGACCAAGGGCGTTTGTCGTGGGGCGAAGTCCACCCCCCCCATTCCACAGGCCCCTGTCCCTGAGGGACAGGCCTATCCTGCCGGCTCTCCAGTGCCCAGCTGTAGTGGGGTGTCACCAGAGGTCTCGGAGACAGAGCCTCTTTCACCTGATGTGCTCTTGGGGATGGACTCAGAGGCAGAAGAGCTACTAACAATGCCCAAACTGGAGTAGTTGCTAAGACTCTTTGGGGCGGAGGAGGAATCTGAGGGTGGTGTATTGGGGGGGGGACATCTAGCTCCTCCCCATCCAAACTTCCTGGGGCTGCTTCCTGCTCCAGTCCACCCCACGATCAGTCCTTCAAGCCCAGCACCACGCTGCAGCAGCTAAGCCTCTGGCCTGCCCCACTTTGGGGTCCCCATTTCTAGCCCACACTTGGGGACCACTTCAAAACCCTCCCAATGACCTGTGTGGTAGAGGGCCGTGTCTGCGACCTCCAGGTGTGGAGGGGCTCAGACCACAAACACTTGTCATCTACCACCCTGCGCAGGCACCGGCAAAGACACCCAATTCTGCTGCCTCCAGAGCAATAAGTGGCACCCAGTTGGGGGAAGAAGAGGCCTGCTCAGCAGGGAGAAGGGGGTATGAAGACCCCAAGCAGAAAGACTCAAACTGAGGGTGCTGTGAGTGGGGTGGATCCTCCAGGCAGGCAACCCTCCAGGAGATTGTTCCCACGGGGACACTGACACTGGCGAACAAAAGGGTTGGGGGGAAGGCCCAGGAGGTGATCACTTGCCTCACTGGATGGACCACCTTTGTCGTCGAGGGCGTGGGCTTTCACGGGCTGCTGTGCCGTGTCGACCCATGGTATTCTATCCCCTCACAGAGGATCCTTGCCTGGCGAGTTGGGCCCTCCTTGCACCGCTCTTGTGGAGATGGTCAAGGCCCAGTTGTCCGGAGCATGAGGGCAGACTGTGGAGCAACAGGCAGCCTGGATACTTATCCCTCACTGCCTCCTGGTGGCAACCAGAGGACCTCCAGACCGCCAGGACAAGCCCAGGGGCCCGGGAAGAGGGGACAGTCCTGCCCCAGGGCCACATTGTGGGTTTCCTCCGTGCAGAGGCAATGGATGCAGACCACACAGGGAATGGGTGCCCCGTGGGTTACATCGTCCATGGCAACATGGTCAGGGACGCTGGAGCCGACATGCTGACTGGGGTGAGGGATGTGGGCCTTAAGGGCACCATCTGTACTTGATGGTGAGGGATGTGCTCGGGCTAGGGAGCAGCGTCAAGCTCACCTGGGACAAGGCCACACTGCAGACGCGCTCCTTGTTGGAGACCTGCCAGCACCTTGATGCCCACCTCTCTCACAGCATCTGGGCTGCCCGCTGGCTGTGCAAGAGGCAGGGGGAAGGGGAGGGGCTGGAACACCGATTCCTACAGGACATCCGACATGCCCACCCGCTGGAGCTCCACCTACGTGATGACTGCGCGTCTGGTGGAGCAGAAGGCTGCAGTGCAGGATGTTATCTGGTCTAAGCCCATCCTGCACAAGGGACAAGAGCCCAGCATAAGCTCAAATGACTGGGTGACTCTGTCCCAGATGGTGTGTGTCCTGAAGCCTTTTACAGTTCCGCCAGGCCTGCAAGACGGAGCTCTTCTGCCAGTCTTTTGAGCCGCCGCCGCCACTATTACCACCATCGTGTACTGCAGAGCAGTGCCGTCGGGGTGGGCTGATTAGCCATCTGGGACATCTCAGCCTATGGCCCTCCCCTTTCTTCTGACCTCACTGTGATATATAATAGTATTTTAATTACTGATGCATCCTGTAGGATTGAATTGTGGTTTAAGTGGTTAATTGTGTAATTTTATCGCACTTTGGGTGCCTAAATTGTTTTAATCGTGTTATATTTTATTGCACTACTGTGCCTATGTAAGCTGCCCTGAGCCCGCACGCGGGGAGGGCGGGGTATAAATGAAATAAAATAAATATAAATAATGTCCCATGCTCCTATACAGCCAGCCGGTGGGAAGCCATCCCCCTGATTCACGAGCTGGACGGGGTGCTAGTCTCTGCACTG